ATGTTAACCTCTTGTTATGGGCTATTTGGCGAATAGTAATGCGTCGATCTTACAAAATGGCTGCTTCAACTTGACGTACAGATGCCTCATCAATGGCAGAAGAGGGAGCTGGGAGCTATTTCAACAGACTTTTGGCCATGTTTGAACTCACGATGCCAGCATTTCATTTCATCAAATGTCTCCTTGGGTGTGCGTTCTTTCAAATACAAAAACCGGGTCACTGCGCAACACTCAACTGGCCCCATTTCACACCTGATTCAGTTCAAACCTCTGTAAATCAGAAACCGCAATTAGTTCAGAGCTGTTTTTGCAACATAACTCATAGAGATGTGAATCATTACACATGCAAAATTTCATCTAGATCAGACAACTGACTTATTGAACGCCTATCGTATTGTTATCATGCTGGTTACAACACAACGCAGCAAGACGATGATTATTCATTACAAACCTGTTTTACAACTACGATGGGAAGCACCCATACATAATGATGTCCCCCTTGTTAAGTCACTGATCCTCACCGCATTGATCAGTTCAACAACTGTTATCTCTCTGATTTGAAACTTTTCATGAACGCACAAGGCATTAAGTAATGGGTATATTTCCTTGTAATGGGTCATGCTAAACGTTGCCAACTTGTGTGCATTTGCCGCTCGGCAAAATACAAAAATATGTTTATTTATTGCCTGTCGACCATATTACTTTTTGTAAATCAATATTAATTTTAACTGAGACAAATCTTGCAAGTAGGACACAAACAAATTATTATCAGGGCACCCCTTGAGATGCCACGGCGATCCAAAAAAAACAGATAACATTGGAACCTTATTAGATTGTTGTTTTAATTAGTTTAATATCTTTACGCTAAGACAAATCTCGAGTGTATTGTTCAGAAACGCAATCGTCCCTTATGTTAGTTGTTGTGTCCTATGTGTACCGCTGAGGCGTGTTTTTTTGGAAGGCATGAACAAAATCATTCTGTCATCTGGTCATTAACACGTGTTGCCATGTACTGTAATAGTGTTCAATTTCAAGGCAGTTTGATCAATAGTCAATTTCAATTCAATTTATTTCTATATCATGGCACCTTGCATTTCATATGATGAACTG